AATATATGAATTCATGGTACTGCACACTAGGTGTTTGACAAAATGTCCAAATGTAGGTTATTGAGTTTTTGGACAAAAAATTACTATTGTTGGAGAAATACAATCATTACAATTTATACTCTTGTTCAAAGTGATTGTAATGTGAAACACCCACAATTTGATATTCTTTATTGAAGCATTTGGGGATATTACATATAGGCAAACTGTTTCAGCATTTGGAGTTAGGCTGAAAGTTTAGTTGCATAAGAGGGTTCAAATTTATCAGAAAGGGCAGAATCCTATTTGCATTTTTTCAATTTGTTAAATGTTGGACTATTTCTCTTGTGCATGAAATGATCAAATAAAATTTACAATTAGTGCTGTCTAGTTAAGTTTTATTTACATTTCAAATTGTATAATCTTTATGATATTATAGTCCATGCATACTTGATGATAAATGAATTTCCAAAAGCACTGGATCTAATGCAAAGGATCAAAGATTTGGGGCAAGTACCCTCAGTGGCTACCTATACTATATTGATAACACACTTTTTCATGATAAATGAGTTCCAGAAAGCCATGGGACTCTATCATGAGATGATTGAAATAGGAGTCCATTTAGATTGTGCGCCGATGACTGCTGTTATTACAGGCTACCTACGCCAAAATTGCATATCTGAAGCATTTGGAGCTTTCAGGATCATGAAGGACAGAGGAATAAAACCCAGTAAGAAATTTTATAGCATTTTCTTCAAGGAGCTCATCAAAGTTTCTGGCACAAATGATATTCTGAAAATATTTAAGGAAATGGAAGAAGCCTCTGAACCTGGAGATGAATTCGTTCAACAGGTCACGTCTTATTTGAAGAGGAAAGGAGAGGTGGATAAGCTTAACGAGATAAAGCAGATTCATGGGAACCGGAATTGTAAAGCCCATCCCGTAGGGAACGTTGAAAAGAATAAAGCGAAACAAGATCAGATTCCTTCGGATCATCAACATGATGTTTGCCAAATCAGTCAAATTTTGTCATCTTCCATGGATTTGTGGTCTATAAAAGAACAATTAGAGAAATGCTGTATACGGTTCACACCAGAAGTTGTTATTGAAGTTCTGCATTACTCTAGACTCCATGCTGGCATGGCATTACAGTTTTTCTCATGGGTAGGGAACCACACTGGTTATAGACACACAACACAATCCTACAAATGGCCATTAAGATTGCAGGACAGGCCAAGGACTTTAAACAGATGAGAAGCCTATTTTATGAAATGAGGAGAAAAGGGTACTTAATAACAAGTGACACTTGGACTATCATGATAATGCAATATGGACGAACAGGCCTCACCCACATTGCTCTTCGAACTTTTCGGGAAATGAAAGAAAGAGGGCACAGCCCTAATGAAAGTACATTTAAGCTTTTGATCAAATGCCTTTGTGGAAAGAAGGGTTGGAACGTTGACGAAGCAGTCAAGTTATTCCATGTGATGATCAAAAGGGGTTGCAGACCTGATAAAGAGCTAGCTAAAGCCTACCTAAGCTGTCTGTGTGAAGCTGGAAAGTTATCTGATGCCAGAAGCTGTATTGAATCTCTACAGAAAACCGGTTTAATCGTTCCTGTGAGGGATCTCAACGGGCATGCACGTCTCAAGGCGGACTTGATAGAAGAAGTGTGGAATAGAAACACTGGCAAAAGTCCACAACAATTCTCGTAAACAAGTTTTTTAGTTCTCGAATTATTATTATGATGTGTTTCTCGGATTTTTTTAAATGGTTGTAATAGACTTTTATGTTGATCATTTTTATGATTATGTTCTTTATATTTTCTATCCCAACTTTTATTTATATAACTTCATATCGAATTTTTAAAATGTGTCGTCATAATTTATATTCTATTTTTAATTTTCCATATTCAAATTAAATACTTTACCTATACTAAATAATTATGAATAATTAAAGTATACTCCGTACAATTTAAATCTTCACAACAAAATATAAACATTTATAAAAAACAAAAATAAAATATATTGAGTTGAGAAAAAGTAAAATAAAATGATTAAAATATGCCAAAAATCTAAAGTGAGTAAAAAATAGTGATTTGCCACTACAGGACATACCACTCTAATGCCATGCCACTGTGTGACTAGATTCACTTTGATTGGTTAAACAATGCCATGTCAGCGTGTGGCATTCCAGTATATGACTTGCCATTGTTCATGCTCTTAGTCACAATGTGAATAACGAGGAAAAAATATGAAGTGCTTACATGAATAAATTAATACAAATTGTTATTAATTATTGATGGGTATATTAGCTGAGGTGATTTTTCTCATGTAACAATTTCAATTTGTAGTCTGTGGGCCAACCAGGTGGGTAAGCCTATACTGGTCATGAGACACAAATACTTGGAAATGGGCTTAACGCCCTGCGCGTCAAATGCGGGTTTAACGCCGTTATGGCTTTAAACACCGCCCCTTGTGCGTTTTAAAAGTGTCATTGTTGCTGCGTTAAATGTTTAACACAATGCAACTGAGCAAAGTCGTTGCATCACCCCCCCCACTGGTCTGATATTTGACCATTGTCAAATACAATTTTTTAAAGTTCAACTATAAATACCCTCTCATATTTTAAAATTGTACGCACACAGCACATTCTCTCATACAATTCTCTATTCTTTATCAACATTCTTATCTTTCTCATCTATTTTTTAATTTTTATCATGAATCCCTTCGGTTCCTGTGTTAAGTCTTGATCCAAACAAGTACGTCTTGTGGCTTTACCAAACATAAAGGATAATCTGACATTTTTTGATACCCAAACCTCAGTGAATCTAGAGAACCCAGAGTTGGTTCCGAAAACTCAATTGGAACCAAGTGCCCAACAAAAAGTGCAAGACAGAAGAGTCACAAATCGAGGACAAAAAAGTCAATGACGGAGGCGGCACGCTCCATTCAAAAATAGACACTGAAGAAATAAATATTGTTGACGTCTGCGTGGATTGGCGTCTCGGAGCATCCTATTGTCAATACAATTTATATGTTTTTAATATATATTTTATATATGTTTTTTATATATTTGTGATCTTCTCCTCAGTTATATATTTATTAAAGGTTGCCATCGAACGAGGGATGCGATGTGAGATCGTATCGAGGAGAAATTATTTGCGGTGAAGAACAAGAGACCAACTCACTTCCAAATGGTGTCACATCAACAGAAAAATTTGAAAGTATATCGGAGTTTACAAGGATTGCTCTCGGTCCCGGAAGAGCGAGACGAACAATGTCGATGTTCTACGGCAAGCCAATGCCTGATATCAAGATGACGGACATCAAGGTAAAGTCCTAGTCGATTTGTGGATAGTTTTAAGATCACCGGAATGGCAACAACTCAACAACCCCGAGGTCGGATCGTCAAAGAAAAGATCCTCCGCCGAGGTTGACACCAATGATACTTTCGGCTCGTCGGAGTAAAGGTCTCCCGTCAACCTAGACGACTTCAATGATGAAGATCCCATTTCGCGACCAATCGAAAAAATTAATTTTATCGGAATCTGCAGGGTCCAACTTTGTTTACTCTCATTACGATATCGGCTTGGCAATGGTTGAATGAATGTGAGTGTTCAATATTAGGGAAGAAGAGATGGTGAAATCAAGGACTGAGGAGGCGCTCGAGATAATGAAAATTGGCTTTGATACGTTAAGAGACTTCAAATTTATGTATTACGAGGAAAGACAAAACGAGATCAATGTTAGATATAATTGATTTAGTTTTTTTATTAATTATTTTTTTAGTTTAATGTTCTTTTTTATTAAATGTAATTTTTTATTTAAATTCCATTAATTAATAAAATCTTATTAAATTAATTTAATAAAATATGTACTAAAAAATTAAAAAATTAAAATTTGAAGTCCTAGTTTGAAGTCTTGGGACTTTAAATCTATTTTTAATAAAACTGCGAGTTAAGTTAAAAGAAAATTAAAAGGTGAGAAAACTTATTTTTAGTGCTCTTATTTTCATAAATTTCATTTGATTACAATCACTTCACCCCTAACATTGACTATTGCTGTATGCGTGTTACTTTCCCCTACTCCGCATATTCTCTGCCACCGACCTCTCATTATTCCATTCATGAAATTCATCCCTCTCCTTCCACTTATCTTCCTGTGCTGAGCTTCGCAGACAACAGATATGGCGAATTCCCTGTAAATATTGTAGATATATTGCAAAACGCGTATATAGATTTCCACCATTTTTTATATGTCTATTCTCTCCAGAGAAGCTCAATGGAGAAGACAATGAAGGACGGGAATTCCAGGCACAGATTTTTGTTTTTTTCTCTCCTCATTTCCATACCTTTTCTCCTCCTCCTGCTCGTCCGATCCCGCCGGGCCTCATTCTCCGCCCTCACGTCAACCGCCGGCTCCGGCCGATCTGGAGGCGGAAGCGAGATGCGCGGTCTCAAGATCCGGCCGGGGTACAATTCCTACGAGGCCTACATCCAGAGGCAGCTGAACAAGACGCTCAACCCGAAGCTCCGGAAGATCTGGACGACCCGGGACTGGGAGAGGAAGATCGAGGTTTTCGCCGCGTTTTTCGCGGATCTGAAGGCGAACGGTTTGCTCGCCAATTCGTCCAAGGCGCTGTGCATCGGCGCCCGGACGGGGCAGGAGGTGGAGGCGCTGAGGCGGGTGGGGGTCTCCGACTCCATCGGCATGGATCTCGTCCCGTCGCCGCCGCTGGTCGTCCGCGGCGACTTCCACCGCCAGCCGTTCGGCGGGGAGACGTTCGATTTCGAATTCTCAAACGTCTTCGACCACGCCCTGTACCCCGCCAAGTTCGTCGGCGAGATCGAGCGGACGCTGAAGCCCGGCGGCGTCTGCGTATTGCACGTCTCGGTTTCCCGGCGAGCCGATAAGTACTCGGCCAACGATTTGTACAGTGTTGACCCGTTGAAGAAACTGTTCGGGCGATCCGAGTTGGTCCGGACCCGAAACATAGACGGGTTCGGATTGGATACAGAAGTAGTTTTCAGGAAAAAGAAGAAGATCCAACGGTGACGATCTCTTACAATACTCCGTATTTATTTGTTTGTTTATTTACTGTATTTTATAAATTGATGGGAAAAGAATTCTTTCATTGAGTTAATTTTATAAAAAGATGAAAAATGTATCTCGTTGTAAAGACTAGATTCATATCGGTGCATTGCACAGCAAGTAATTTATTGTAATATACGGAGTATAAAATGATATTATCATAAAAATAAATACTTCCTCCGTCCCCCATTTGATTACAAATTGGGTAATCAAATTGAGGTTTACGAGGAGAAATATCTCAGTTTTTTAAATTATTTTATTTACAAATCGGTATGTCGATAAGAAAATAAAAGTTACATGTTAAAAAATTACGTCAAAAATTTTATAAAACAAAATGTGACAAGAATATTTTATTTTATCAAATACTTAATAAAATTGCGTAAACAAACAAAAGTTATCGAGAAGAGATAGAAAAAAAAATTGTTATCAAATTAGGGACGGAGGTAGTATATAAAAATCTAAATATAGAAATTAATATAAATTCAACATAATTAACGAACTACGTAAAATAATCTAACATACAATCGCAATATATTTGAAAAACATGTATTCTGAACTCACTTTCACAAAGAGTTGCAATACTTTTCAGCAAGACCAAAGTAGGACTAAAACATTAAAAATTTATCAAAATAGAACTTCTATATTTTTATTCTCGAAATAGGACTTAAGCTGCATTTACATTACCGAACATGGTCATGTACATTATCTAGGGGTGAGCAAGTACCAAACTGATACCGAAATCTCCCGAAAAACCCGAGAATACCGAACCGAAAAATACCAAATCGAAAAAGTACCGAGAAGAAACCGAACCGTACCGAACCGAATGGTCGGTACGGTATTCGGGAACGGTACGAGATGACGTCCCATACCGAAAATCCCGTACCGAACATATATATTAAAATATTATAAAAATAATACCCCAGAGTAATATTTTTATATTCCTTCACTAAATAAGAATTTTTTAGAAAAAATTGTTTCAATTTCTATGATGTGTAAATTATACTTTTATTTGAGTTTTAATTTTTGCGTATGAACATAAAAGTATTTGCAAAGATTTGAAATACTCCTTTGTTGTCATTCATTTTTTTAGTTTGTGAAATATAAACTAAGTTTTGATACGCATCTCTTGTATTTAAATACTCCATCCGTCCCTAAATAGATTACAATTTTATTTTCTCTCTCCTCTCGATAACTTTTGTTTGTTTACGCGATTTCATAAGGTATTTGATAAAATAAAATATTCTTGTCGCCTCTTGTTTTGTAGAACTTTTGACGTATTTTTTTAATATGTAATTTTTATATCTTATTGATATACCAATTTGTAAATAAAATGATTTCAAAAAGTAAAAAATTTAACTCCGTAACCCGCAATTTGTAATCAAATTGGGGACGGAGGGAGTATTTATTTTTTTAATTTTTCATATTTTTTTTATTTAAATTCACTTTTAATTTTAAAAAATAAAGGGGTATTGTTAAATTTTAACGGGTAAAGTAGGCATGTATATTTGTACCGATACCGATATCGAACCATCCCGGACCATACCGAACCGATATTTCGGGATCGGGATCGGTACGGAGCAAAATCCCATACCGAACCGAAATATTTGGTACGGTATCGGTACGAGCTAAATATCGTACCATGCTCACCCCTAACATTATCAAAACATATATTAATGTGTACATGTACAATGTCACATTACCACAGTGCGAAATCATATTTCAAGAAAAAAAATATGAAAATCCTATTTTGGTACTTTTCTCTGTATTTTAATTTTATTTAGAATGATTTCTAAAAAAGGTTTCCCATATAATGTGCGGGAAGTAACTTTTTGGTTTGATTGTTGGGAGAACTTGATTTTTTATGTGTTATTGTATATAATTTATTTGAATAAATAAAAAATAAATTTTTATAAATCAATCATTTGACAAATAAATAATTTTATAAATAAGAATTTGATAAATCACCATATAAATCAATCAATAAATAACTAAATAAATACTCCGTAAATAAGTAAATAATATAGGGAGTATAAATAAATAAATAAGAAATAAATACTCCTTCCCCAAGTAAAATTCATGAAAGGATTTGCAAGAAAAAAATATTTTTTTTGGAATTAATATTTTCTTGATAATTGGTGTAGAAATAAACAAATTACTCCTATTGTTCTAAAATGATCTTCTCAGTCACTATAACATGTTCAAACTTTAATTAATTTCTTTAACTATTTTCATTAGTTATATGATAAAATAATACGAAGTATAATTATGTCACCTCTTGTTTTGTAGAACTTTTGATGTAGTTTAAAAATTTAAAATTTAATTTTTTAATTTTACAACTATATTCAAATAGATAGAATTGAAAATGATTTCACTCAAATTTCGAAAACCGAACTAGGAATATCATTTAGGACAGAAGGAGTATATACTTAAGAACAATAACAAAATATTCTTCAAAATAAAAGATGATATGATAATATTATTATATCAATTGATCGATAAAAATATATAAATAAATAAAATAATTGTGACTTTAAAACAACAACTTAAAAATTGATTTGAGGAAAGAGGGAATATAAAAATACGTTACTTATTTTTTCAGATAAGGATTATATTTTACTCTTATTTTTAATAATTTTCTTTAATTTGTATCCCCATTTCACAAAACAATTCTATTTTTATTTTTTACTCTTACCATAAAACATTCCCCATATTTTATGTGGAAGTTCACTCATGTTTGACTCTCAACGGAAGCGGATGGGTTAACTCTTTGTATGTCATTAAATTAATAAAAGTATAAATAAATATTACATTGTAATACTATACGTCAATACCACTAAAAAATACTCTTATTTTTCATTAAAAAAGTAAAAAAAAAACGTTTAACTCATATTTTTTGAGTTAAATTGACTCTATTAAAAAATAGTACCCATTCGTACCATTCTCAACCTAATGACACACATAGAGTCAATAGCTTCACCTCCGCTGAGACTCAAAGTTGGATGAACTTTTTCATGAATTCTGAGGAGTAAGCTTCATATTAATTTTTATTCAACCTAAAAAAATTTGAATCCAATTTTCTTTTAGAATTACTGCTTAATGTGAAAAATTAGGACGCAAACTACACAAATTGCCACTTGTGTATTTAAAATTTTATTTTTAATTACTTGAAATCATTTTAGTTACTCGAAAAAGTGCACAAATAATAAATTTGTGTCCAAATTATTTGTGACTTTAACATTATTCCAAAAAAATTCTAAACTTATTTATGTCCATATTTGCTTACCCCGTACTGTATTTATTGCCACACGTTTTTCCATTAAGTTTTTCCTTATTAAAATTTTAAACCGGCGTACGTTTCGACCTATATGCACGGATCTTCTTTAATTAATTCCATGCTACCTATGGAAAATTTGTTTTATTAAGAGCCTATATTTCCAATTTTATTCTCAAAAAAGTTAATTATATAGCTTTATTTTGTTAAAAAAACATTATAAAACCATGTTTAAAACTATTCATCATTTATTTCATTTTATTAAGTTTCAAAATAAAATAATATTTTTTTTATTTTTAATTTTAATAATAAAACTTTGGCGCCCATTCTTTTAATTTTTCATTAATTAAAATAACTTTCATTGTTAATACATTAAATGACCATTGATTTTGTATAAAAATTATTTGCCATTATTCTCTTTTATTTATTTTCAAGAGCAAACATCTATATAAATTTTAATAAATGTGAATTATTGTTAAAACTAAAACTTTTATTTTAAATGATATCATATGTAATAATTAAAATATACTCCATATTTAGTAGAATAAAATATAATAATTATTAAACTCTTATTATATTATGATTCAAACTAGAACATTTATCAAAATCTTAAAATTCCAAAATGTTGTATGTGAGTTAATGGATCAAAAATAATTTTTTGAATAATATTAAAATAATTTTGAAACTAATAGAATGAATTTAGTGTGTGGAGTGAAATTAGTGTTTGGGTAGGGTGTGACTATCACCACTCTTAAATTAAACACACCCGAAAATGGCTTAATAATTAGAGTAAATAATCACCACACCGCAAGTATATACACTATACATCCAGATCTATAGTATTTTTTGTATATTCGCATTAATATAATACTCATTTTCAAATAACTAAGTACTAATCTTTGAATAACAGAATATTCATTTTCGAGTAACTGAAAGCTCATTTTCGAACATAATTGAATTTTAAAAAACTGATTATTCAGTTACTCGAGAATAAATATTCACTTCTTCAAAAATGAGTACTCGCCTTAGATATACGGGAAACACACTACAACTGATTGTATATATTGCGCCATACAGCCCGCTTAATTAGCAATTAGTTACCATAATTAATTTAAAGATCAAACCCATTCCATACACACACACATATGGGTAGTTAATATGTATAAATAAGTGCCAAATAACAAAACTCATATTACACATTACGGAGTATAATATAATTATCATATATAATAATTTTCTTTAAATATAATACGGAGTAATATACATTTTTATGATGAAATCATCGGCTTTGGGGTGGTTTAGGGCACTGTTACTAATGATGGTAATGTGTGCTTGTTTTTCATCGGAGGTGGCGGTTGCGATAAGAAACCAGAGGCCGAATTTCCCTCCGCCGCCGCCGTGCACCGGCGAAAATTGTCTGCCGCCACCGTCAAATCCATACAATAGAGGCTGTAATCGCTACAACCGCTGCAGATCAGGTCCCCCCGCCGAGAAAGAATCCTCTCGTCATTAGTTGATTATTTAGCCACGGAGTAATAATTAATCCACAAGTCTCTGAGTATTTGTCTGCTTTTGATTTGCTTTTGACAAAATTGACAAATTATGATTACAAATTAAATAAAAGTGATATTATAGATATTGATACGAAAATTATTTTATAAGATTTGTTTTATAAAATATTTTCTAAATATTATTTTATTTAATTAATTACCATATATATTTTATTCATTTATAACCTAAATGTTAAAGATTTTTGACTGAAAAAATCAAAATCAGACAAATACTTAAGAAGGAAAGTAGTATATGCATGTAGCTGGTGGTCAAGTTTCTTATCATTGGTTTTTTTTTGAAGTATGAATTATTGTTGGGAGGTAGTTTGGAATAATGTACTCCGTAGTTTGTACCAATTGGATTTTAAAAATAATAATATATGAAGGAATAATGGAATGCTATGAA